GGATGAACGGAGTGGATCTGGAAACATGGAATCATGGAACAGAGTTCAGGATCTGAGGAGAGGTGGGTGGGAGGTAATCAACCAAAAACCTTGTATGCATATAAGCATAACCCATGGACACAGACAATAGGGGCCTGAAGGCCTGTGGGGGGGATCGAGGGTGGGCTGGAGGGGGTCAATGGGGGGGAAAAGGGGACATGTTATACTTTCAACAATAAAGAATTATAAAAAAAATTGTAGGAGTCTCGGTTCCTACTGCTAAATAAACTAGTAATGAACTTAATCAAATACTGTTTTATTACTTAACACCAAATGTAGGTAAGTGCATGTGTATCTGCACTTAAGTATGGATTGATGGAAGGCCAATATTTCTAATCCAGTCGATCGTTTTACTAGTTCACGTCTTTCCTGAAGAGAAACCAGTAATAAAATAATGGACCCTCACAGACTTCTCATACTTACTCGGTCTCTACAACGGGGACACTGTCGATTAGTGCGGAACAAGTTAAACTGAAACCCAAATCACAATCTTTTTGGCGAATGAACCAACAGTTTTATGCTCCTCGGGCCAGTTACATCTTAGGACAAATTAAGCAACAAAGAAATTAAAAAAATAAAAGAACTGTGTTAGGGAGCGTGTTAATGGCCACGGAAAGTGCTTAGGGAACAGAACACGCCTGGCACACGGCGGGTGCTCCGTAAATTTACGGAACGAAGGCAGGCGTGTAAATGCGTACATACGAGGACGCCGCACATTTAGGGCTCACTGAGAACCGAGAAAGTGACAGGACGCCACGCTTATGACAGCTAACCATCTGCAACCCTTCCCAGGGGCCGCGCACGGGGGTAGGCGCTTCAGAGAACAAACAGAACCTCTTCGTGCGACAACCACCTTAAACGGGTCCCCGCATTTCTCAGGGGCGGCTCCCCGGCACACGCAGAGCAAGGTCAGGCGGAGAAGCGGTGGAGCAGGTCAGCCCGGACAGCCAGGTCCACGCTCCCATTCCCGAGTCTCCACCGCGCCCCCACTGTGCCCTTTAACCCGGCCTAGAAAAGCGTTCAGGACAAAGATACCGACCCAACAGGGGTCCACAGCCACCTGCGGGGCCAGCTCCACCGGTGCACACGCCGGGAGACCGCCCGGCCCCGGCATAGCCGGAGTTCGGCC